TTTGGGGCCACTTCGTTCTGTTGGTTCAAGTGCACTATGTGGCAAGGGCGGCCAACTACAGCGTTGGCTGTTTTGTACTTACGTTTGAAGCCGTTGCTAGTGCAGCAGTTGTTAGTGCTGTTTCCGATGTTGACGCTACAGCGCCTGTATTTGCTGATGTAGCTGATCTATGATGAGTTGTTGTTGATACTCTAAAGAAAGTTGCATGGGGTCGGTCGTAATGTTGTTCACGGACTGCATCGCTGCTTTGACGCTCTGTCCGATGTCAGAGCACGTTCATTCATTTTTATGTATATTCAATACTAGTTAAACGGTTACAGTTACATTCGCGTACATTGTATTCACTTCACAAGCACTTGCAACTGACTGAGTGCTCACCTTGATGTCGACTCAACTAACAAGAAAGCACTGCGGGTTCAACCTCTTGCCGCCGTTGTTGGCGCTGAACTGTGTCCAACGTTTAAGGCGAGCTTTGCGGCTTTGCTACGAATGGCCAATCAAGATGCTGGCCTTCAACCTTCGCGATTAGCATAAAATATCTTCGAGTCTGTCCTACACAATTTCCTAAGCATTTTATTCCAAAACATTTGTTTCACGAACACATAATATACATTGAATGTTTCACAATACGTATAGAAGTTCATGATGAAGCTCTAGACTTGTAAACAACACACTTGAGTTTGTCCAACGCATAATTTCCCACAATTTGTAAGCCAAAATACTTTTGAAATAATTAAAATTCGTCTTTTTTATTTCATCGAAACAGAAATCTCTCCTTCTGCTACTATTATTCGCTCTCGTCCATCGACCTCGTGATTTCGGAATTGATTTATTACGATAAGGAATACGAACAGAAATATTTTCTCTCTGAGACAAAATTGATTGTTGCTTTTCACCTCTGCTATCAGCAGTCGTAATTTAATGATTTCCATTTAAAAACATAATTTTAAAACATTTGAACTCGTTCTTTATTTCTAATCTACCTTACATGTGGAACATGCAAACACTACTATTCATCCGTAGAGGAAAGATTCATAGGTATTAGACCTTTTCTGGGTATTACTTCGTAATGTAGTTAGTGTATGAGAAGGTAGTACAACAATAAATTACGTTTTCCCAAAGATACGTAGACACTTCGTACATACAGTAAATATATTTATGTTTTAGAACATAACATGGTAAAATAAATATGTTTCTATCTCAAAGAAAGAAAAAAATATGAAAGCACGGACAACCTACACACAGAATCATACAAGTATCTACCAGGAGAAGCAAAACATAGACTTCCAGTCTTGTTCTCTGCTGGCAACAAAGCAAAATTCCTGTAAACCCTCGTTGTCCAAATATTCAAGATATTCTCATCAATAGTATGTGTAACTACACGGAAATATGCCTGCTGAAGTTTTCAAGATATACACGAAAATAATTGCTAAACGATTAAGAAGCGTGATAGATTACATACTCCTTGAAGACAAATCAGATTTTCAAAAATAAAGATAATATAGGAAATGTGTACTCTCTAAAGCAAATAAAAGAAAAGAGCAGAAAATACAATCTTCGAATATATTTAGTGTTTATAGATTGCAGCAAGACATTTGATAGTGTTTTAAATAACATAATGCCCCAGAGAGGAATTCCCCAACACATTATTGAAGTTATTAAGAATATACATAATGGTACACAAATTAACATAAAGAAAATAACGGAGAGATTCTACATGAGGTGATTAATATGGCGTTAGTTTGTCACTTATCTTATTTAATATCTATTTAGACAACACTGCTAGAGAATGGAAACAGCAGTTTAATTGTTTTAATATTTCAGACCACTTGTAAGAATGCAATTTTGTTAAAACTTTAATATTTGCAGACGATCAGGTTCTTATTGCAGAAAATGAGAACAAATTACAGAGAGAGCTCTGTTTGAATTACAACAGATAACAGCAGAGTATAACTTAAAAATCTCAGCAAAAAAATCAAGTCCATGGCATTTCAAGTTAGCTTTTCTAAAATATGTAAACTGGTAGTGAATGACAAAATCATTGAACAAGCCCACATCTTTATGTTTTTAGGCTGTGATATTTCATATAGAGGGGAAGTTAATGTAGAAAAGTAAATAGAGCGTTTTAGTAATATATGCCATACGATTAAAATAACCATAATAAAAAAGGTAAGGAAAGACACTATCCTAACATTTTATAAAACATTAGCTGTATCAACCGATGTCTATGGAAGATAGGTACTGAATTGCAAATCCCGCAGGCATTCAGGCGTCTGAAAAGCGATTTTTGAGATTAATATTAGGCTTTACGAGAGAACACAGAATAGGAAATGTGGATGTAAAAAGTACGTTAGGATATTTAATTTAAATGAAAAAATATAAGAATACAGTAGCGCATGGGCTAACCACGTACAAGTGAAAAGGCTGGATAATTCCAGAACTTCAAAAGAAGTCACTCATACCGCCCTAAAGGAAATCAGAACCGAAAACAAAATGGAAGGACCAATGAGTGCGCAACGAATCTACGGTCCAATGCTGGAAAAATAATAAGAATAAAGGACATGTTTCAAGAACTCTTGTAATCTTATCCGTAAGAAACGCACCACAGATCATCTATTGCCTGGATGAAATAAACTTTCGCCGTCACCCTGCATGTGGAAGAAAAGGAAACACGAGAAACAGGAAGAGACGACAACGTCATCTTAATTTGTACAGTGTACTGTGACTGATCCCAGTGCTCTGACAGTCAATAAAAGTAGCACTCAATAGCAGAACATTCAAAGCAACAGAACTTTTGTCACCGAGGAGTGGTAATAGCGACGCATCTACAGCTAACAGGATGGGGTCTTATTTTTCAGAAGAAAATAAAAGAAACGTGACAGAGAGTTTCTTATTATCATCGCACTATCACCGTTTTGTGTAAAATCCTCAGTAAAAAGTAAAATGGAATGGAAAATGATTGGCGTACATTCCTATTCAATGTTCCTCATAACATTAATTCTAGATGTTAATAGTTATTTAGTAGATTCTGCTTCAGTTTTAAAAGACTTTAATATAAAACTATATCACAATTACTTTCCATGTTTTATGGAATCTTAAGTGGATAAAATTTATGAGGGATGTGAGTATAAGTAGTAGTGAGTAAAGTATCTATGTAGATCTATCATTAAAAAAACAGTATCATATTCTTCTTACCTAAAATACCCTGCATTAAATCTCAACAGAAACTGTTTTAAAGGTTCTTAGGATAAACTTAATAGGATGTACTAATACCACATATACGCATTTATTAGGGATGTCGTCAGAACTTAAAGACAACGAGGAGTAAAATACGAGAGGTCCTGAACTTTGAGCTCTTTCGTTGCGAAGTGCAACGAACAGTTTTTTTCTTCCTTTTTGTGGATCAACTCCATTTTCCAGGTCTCTGGCACCGTTACCTTAACTTCGCCCCTCTCGTTCGTTCCGCTTTACCCTTTCTTACCGTCCAATCAGCGAAGCCAGTCACCTCAAGGAAGGGGGCTCTGGAATCGAATAAGGCTGATAAATAATTCAGTTACCTTTTGGAGCTGAGCCATGGGACACAAGACCTTCCACACGGCGGGTCTTCAATTTTGAACATCGTCACTTCATTTAGCGCCCCGGTTCTCTTTAAGCAGAAAAGAATTTCATTAAGAAATTCATTGTAAGGAACCAAAGGAATTGAATCTAACCTGTAATTCCGACATGTATAGGATGAGATTTAAGCCATAATAAAGAAAGCTCCCAAGACTATTTTTTTTCACTTTCTTATGGGATTGTTAGAACATCTCTGACAAAGGATGAGAATTGAGACAAGGTTATAATGATACTAGGAAAGCGATGTCCACAAATTAAGTTCTCTATTGAACAGACTACCAAAAAATCCTTTTACCTAACTTGAACATGTACACGAATATTCATAATTTTAGTATCAATAAATTTCGGTAGTCATTCACAGGACAGAGTCAGTCAAAAATATAATCAACGAGTACTTATACACTATTTCTCTCTAATGTCTCCCATAAAGCACATACGTGTAGTTTCATTTCTTCAGTTTTAGGACAATTTTATAAATAGGTTTTTCATGTAAATATTCACATTGCTTCTTTTATGGCTTTTGGATTGATTCTTTTATTTCATGTTTCTGAATCAAAATTAATATTACAATTTATAAAAAAGTTAAAACTGAAACTATCAGTTAACTAGTGTTGCTACATAATGGCACAGACTTTCTCGCTCTAATTATTTTACAATCTCTTTAGCTTAGACTAGATTTTCGATATTACCCCCCTCTCTTTCCTGCTGCTACCTCTCAGGGTCAAAACGACATTTTTTCGCTTTCTCGCAAATCTTTGGTCTTCTAATAGTAGAATTGAAATATGAATTTAAGAATATTACAAAAGTGTCACTTTTGAAAAATATTTGAAATTGTCGTTGAGGCTTAATATAAATTACGTCCAAAAATTAAAATAAAGGTTTCAAATTTAAGGGGAGATCGTTTGGAGAACATACATTTTGGAGAAAATACTTCTTTCGGTTTAGCCGCTGGTCACTGGCGGATCGACAGATAGACAGACTGTCAGACAGACGTATTGTTGTAAACCAAGTTTTTGGAATCAAGGACTCACAAAATTTGGATTCTTAGTAAACAATGCGTTTGAAATACTTTACTACATATTATTTCAACAAGCATTTTCCACTATTTTGGTATCTTAGTTCAATACGGATTTTTGGTTCAAAAATCGCCATTTTTTGATGAATCATTACATCATTTTCTCTACACTACATAAGTAGTATGCGAGAAAGTAAAATATCTCAGCGTCGTTGTATTTTTGTATTCAGTAACGTCCCCATTCACAAGCCGTCGCTATGGCAATGTATTTCAAGCATTCTAATAATGTTTCAGGGTGCGGTGACCCAATTTCTAATGTGTATATCTCCTGTGAAGTATTATCAATTTTATTATCCGATTGGTTCTTTATATGGATAAAAACTGTATTATAAATCGAAACCCTATCGTCATTGAATGTAGAAGAGGACCAAAAGTGACACAACCGCAAATTAAAAATTGTGTATTGCAAAGAGTACCAAACAGAAATCACGATGAAAAAGATTTAGCGAAGTCACCTCGCGTCATTCATTGCAAAAACGCAGCAGAATCACCAGGCTCAAAGCGCTCATTTAGTAGGAAAGCAAGGATAACACCAGCAATTTACGAAGAAAATCCTTTGGCTCTCGAAAGAGTACGCCGTGCTTGTACTTCGAGCGCAGTGAGGACAGAGTACTACAACGACATTTCATGTTCATTTAAGTCACTTCACATTACAACTTCAGAAGGAGCCAATTGTCGAAACACAAAATCAGTACCTCAACTTACAACTCAACATCGTTGCATTGCTCCCATCAATTCATTTGCAGGGGAAAGGAAGGAAACAGGCTACAAGAAAGATCACTTAAAATACCTGTATAAAAGGCCAATGAGGTCTCTCAGTGACACGATGGTTGTAAACAAGAGGATTCATTCTAATGCAGGTGACAATTAATAGGCGTAGATTCATATTAATATTTTATGAAAAAAATCTGCAAGGATATTGTTTCAGTGATCTATTGTTACATTAGTGGATGTTCTACTACTGCATCTCTCACAATTTTATTTCTTTAAGTTTGTGAATTAATTTAATGTTCAACGTCATGAATACAAATGCGATGTATTTAACTCAACTTTGACGAGAAAATAAAACTATAAAATCAATAAAGTAACACAATAATAATAAAATAATAATAATAACAACAAAATAAGATTAAGAATAGGAATTTTCAAGGTCTATTTTTTTTTTCAGAATACTTCATTGACGATTCTGGAGATACTAGTGAATCCGATGAAGATGTTGCCGAGGAGGAGAGTGAGAAAATGATGGATTGCGATGTTTATGACCTTGCAAGAAATTTAGTGTGCCAGATGACAGGAAGAAAACCGAACAAAGAAGATGAAGTGGATGGTATTCCCAAGGTAATCACCTGATTCCAACATTTATCTTATTCTTAATATTCAAATTTTGTTAATGATAATGTAGCACTCATTTTTAATTTTTGTAAAATCGTATCTGACAAAATTTACAGTACTGATGTCGCCGGCACTTCTATCGTATGAATACTCTCTACCGTATGTTAGAGCAAAAACATTCACTTACGGTTGGCCAGATGGCTTAAATATCTTTCTCACAATGTCATAATTGCATCCAGACTGCATCTTTCAATAAGAAAGTTTCCACCACAAAATTTTATTCATTTTTAATATCAAAATTGAAGCAAATGGAAAATAGTGATCAAATATTACCATCAAGGGAATTAGTAAGCTGTTCACCGAGAATAATATCAGCTAACATAACGAAGTAGGTCATCGTTCTCTTTTATCATGCAGTTCTAATTTAAGTCGTTAGAGTGTTCAGTTATTTTAAAAATTTGCAAATCTTCATGTACAAAATTTAAATGTTATATTAATATAATTTAATAGGATATAGTGGTAGGAAATAGCCCCGATTAGGTGATATAGTGGCATGGAAAAGCCTCGATCCTGCCCCCACGCAGAAGCTAACGCCCATGCCCAAGGCGGGATTTGAAACCGTGATCTTAGCCACCCAGCTCGTGAACTGGGTATCTCTATTTAATTTTCCAGTTCTTTTTTCCATAATTATTAGAGTAAATTCACAAACTGCAAAGTCTTGAATAATGACATAAAAACGCGAAATGTCTTGGAGAAGTACCAAAAACCTCTACCCACCGCAAGAAAAAAAAAGGTAGTGGCGGCTCAAATTAACATGTAAAAACCATTAACAAATCAACGAGTACTGTTACAACAAATATCACTTAAAATGGCCTGCCACTTTGTTGTCAGTTTTCTTAATTTATTCTCACCACCTTTGTTGCACCTTCATAATTTTGATAAATGAACTAATTATTTACGATTGTTAATGAAACTATTTAATATTCAATTGAACTAATATACTTTACTCAATTCAAGTCTAATTTTTTGACACCTTCTAATTCATATATTACTTTAGAGAGCTTACGAAATATTTCTTGTGCGATCCACCGAGGAACACTTCGAATTGTTAAAATTACTTACATAAAAAACCACAATGGTTTACGTGTTACAATTATTACTCGTAACTGCGAGTTAAATACCCATCCACGCACCAAATTCATTTGTGGTGAACCTAATTTTATTGTATCAGATTTAATTATTTACTAATTAACTAGATGTTAAATTGACTCGGTCTTTTCATATTCCCTTCCCATAGTTCTCTCCATTAGGAAACATGTTGTTGCCATTCAACGTTTTCATATTTCCCTCGTAATCACGATCCGCGTGTATCAAACTCCGTATCGAAGACAACTCGTACAACGTATCAGTTAAAAATAAAATAAGTTCAACCCCGGGGCGAGAATGGGTCGTGAAAGGGTGAGAGTGCGTCCGCAGGTGTTCCACTACAAGAAGCGGCTCCCGGCGCGGGCGTCGGCCTCCGCGTCGGGGGTGGGGGCGGGGGCGGGAGCGGGCCGTACGGTGCCGTCGCCGTTCCCGCCGCTGCAGGGCGCACGGGAGGCGTCCGGCCGCCACCCACCGCGCTCCGCGCCCCGTCCGCGCGCCCGCCCCGCGCTCGGGCCCCGCGACCGCGCCCGCACGACCGCCTCGCCGCCACCCGCCCAGCGCCGCTCCGCGCCAGCAGTGCGCCTGGTGCGCAGCAGCCGAGTCGCTGGCCGCCTCCCCGCCGCCGCCGCAGACGCCACCCACGCCCTTGAGCGCCGCGCCGATACGGCCTCTTCGGCCTCGCGCCCCCGACCCGTGCACTCCCACCCCCGCTCTGCACTCAACTGAAATTTACACTTATATTTCTTCAGGCTACTAAAGGCTACGAATGTTATTTTTTATTTAAACCATGACAGGCGATTGTTAGCAGGTAAGTACGTTAATGGTGCTGCGTCATATGGATTTCGTATGACCTGGATGGCGAGCTAATGAGACGATTAATACAGCCGCCGGCTTCGGTCCCGCCGCCCCCGAGCCGTACCCGCGCCCCCCGACGCTCTTGCATTCACTGAATACACTTTAATTTCTCAGGCTACTAAAGGCTACGAATGTTTATTTTTATTTAAGACGCATCGGACAGGCGTTTTAGAGGTGGTAGTACGGTTCATGTGCTGCGATGCATTGGCATATTCTATGACGATGGCAGAGCTAATGAGACGATTAATACGAGTGCCTACTTCGGGTCCTCGGCGCCCCCGAGCCGTGACCCGCGCCACAGCTCTGCATTCATGATTATACACTTATATTTCTTCAGGCTACTAAAGGCTAACGATTTATTTTTATTTAACACATCGACAGGCGTTTAGCAGGTAGTAGCGTTGCATGTTGCTGCGTGTCACTTTGGCATATTCTATGACCGAGGCCAGAGTTAATGAGGACGATTAATACGAAGGCGCCTCTTCGGTCTCGCGGCCCGCCCGAGCGTGGACCCGCGCCCGCCGTCTGATTGCACTAAATAGCACTTATATTGTCTTCTCAGGCTACTTAAGGCACGAATGTTATTTTATTTAAGCATGGACAGGCAAGTTTAGCAGGAAGTACGTCATCGTGCTTGCGTCATGATGGCATATATCTATGAACGATGGCAGAGTTAATAGACGCATTAATACGAGTGCCATTTCGGTCCCTGCGCCCCCCGAGCCGTGACCCGCGCCCGCTCTGCATTCATCTGAAATACATTATATTTCTTCAGGCTACTAAAGGTACGAATGTTATTTTTTATTTAACCATCGACCAGGCGTTTTAGCAGAGTATTGTTAGCGTTCATGTGCTGCGTCGGATAATGGATTGTCTATGACCGATGGGCAGGTTAATGAGACGATTATATACGATGCGCGCTTCGGGCTCGCGCGCCCGTGCCGGAGCGTGACCCGGCCCGCCGGCTTGCATTTCACTGAAATACACTTTATTGTTCTCTCAGGCTACTAAAGGCTACGGAATGTTATTTTTATTTAGAACCATCGACAGGCTTTAGCAGGTATATAACGTTCAATGTGCTGCGTCATGTTGGCATTTCTATGACCGATGGCAGAGTTAATCAGACGATTAATTACGAGTGCCGCTTCGGTCCCGGCGCCCCCCGAGCCGTGACCCGCGCCCCCGCTCTGCATTCACTGAAATACACTTATATTTCTTCAGGATACTAAAGGCTACGAATGTTATTTTTATTTAAACCATCGACAGGGATTTAGCAGGTAGTACGTTCATGTGCTGCGTCATATGGCATTTCTATGACTGATGGCAGAGCTAATGAGACGATTAATACGAAAAGCATATTTTTTATTATAATAAATTTATATTTCATTAGGGTATCGGCTATAATTTTTATTTTTCTTCAAACAATCGACAGGGATTTAGAAAGTAGTACGTTTACGTGCTGCGTTGTGTGGTATTCATATAAGTGATGTCAGTGTCAGCACGATAATAGATATGTAGTGAATGTAACGATTAATTCGAAACGTATATTTTTTAAAGTATATTTATATTCGATGAGGGTATTGTGTATAATTTTCATTTTTCTTTCAACGATTGACAGGGATTTAGAATGTAGTACGTTCACGTGCTGCGTTGTATGGTATTCATATAAGTCGTGTCAGTGTAGAAGCACGATAATGGTAAGTATGTAGTCAATGCTACGATTAATACGAAACGTATATATTTTATTAAAGTACATTTATATTTCATGATGGTTTCGACTACAATTTACATTTTTCTTTAAACCAACGCCAGGGATTTAACAGGTAGTACGTTCACGAGTTGATTATGGAGTATTGATATAAGTGATGTCAGCGTGTATGCATGATAATAAATATGTAGCTAATGGTACAACTAATACGAGATGAACATTGTCAATAAAATACATTTGTATTTTAATGAGACTATCGACTAGGATTTTAATTTTTTTAAAACAACTGTAGGAATTTAGCTGGATGCTAGCAAATTTTGTTTATGAAAGAGAAAAATGATAGAGATCATTAACAGACTTCCAGTAATTTAATAATGTCTTTACTTTCCATGAAAACGATTGCATTTATCATTTTTAATGAAAGCCAAATGAGTACCTAAAGAACACATTTTGTAAAATGTTGTAATTTTTCTTCTATTCAACTTAATAGAAACCATACGTGTCTAATGTTTAATTCTATCATTATCAAAGAATTGGATTCAGACCACCACCAAGGATTGGTTTTCATAGGTTTGTGATATTATTTCTGATCATCTTTTTGTTCAAAATATTTTCCTTTTTGTCACAAGTTTTTGTTATAACCTGAGTTATAAAAGTATTTTTGATTGAGGGTATTAGAAATAGTGAACTAATTACTCCAAAACTGAATGTTGAGAATATACATGGGAAAAATTGTAGTGTATTCACTCTCAATATATTATAGTTTAATGCGTTACTACGTAATGAAGATATAACTGTATTTTCGACATCAAAATGTAATAGGTGGTGCCATTAAATACAAATATTGATAGGAAAAAGTTATTTTTTTAAATTTCAACAGTCAGATATGGATTGTTGTTTAATAAATGCATATATAGGTTATTAGATATTTCTATTTGTTTATCTAAAACGTCAAAAGCGTCACCATAAAATCAAGATGTAAACCTTGGCTTAGCAACCCCTCACTGCCTTCGTAATGCACAACAATTTTGTTGCCTTGAAATTTTTGGGGTTTAGTGAATCGAAGTAGAAAAAATTAAAAATTCAACCAAGCAGAGATATTACGCTAAGATCATGTAAAATGTTTCTTCAAGTACAAAAGCTGTATCTGAAATCGTAATTAGAAATTTGTCTAATTAGAAAACCATTTTAATAACAGTCTATAGCTATTTTCGTCTGACAGATTTATAGGTGTGAAATGTAGGATTTTGCATAAAACTATCTTTAGAAAGCGACCTATTCCTTAACATAAAAATACACTACTCAGAAA